CCCCAAAACCCCAAAACCCCAAAACCCCAAAACCCCTCGCATAAAAGGCAAAATTGATACGTTCATTTAATCAAAGATAAAAATAATGAGTTTTTGGAGGCATTATAAAGCCTTGTGATATAAGAACTTGTATCTTTACAAGAGAAACTGGAAGGGCTCCATTTGTGAGCTAGTCTTCCCAATGTTTATGATGTTGTGTGTACTACTGCTGAGATTGATCATTACAAAAGAAGCCACAGGTCCTAATAGTCTGCTAGACGATGGCTATATATTCTATGACCAAGGATCCACTACTGTTAATAAGGACTTTGCAAACTATGCTATATTCCCAACCAATGTTGAATGGTTTGATTATTGCTTTGGAAGAGAAGATACTCCTGACAGAAATATTATTGCTCTTGGCCCAACTGGGAATTCCATAATAGCAAACATTAAGGCAAGGCTTGAAGCTGACTTAACCCCTAAGTACAACTTTACAGTAAAAACTTACAGTTCAAGAGATGAAATTAGAAGCATTATCAGTGCTTCTGATTATGAGCAAGACGGTAATCCTGGGATTTGTTTTGGAGCTGTATTTTCTGAGGCTTCCACTGATAAAATCACCGTAAACATGATCTTCGATGATCTTATCAACGAGAGGACTGATGACCCGAACATGCCTAACCAAGAGCTGCCAGCAGCTGATGAGTTCCAGAGAGGTCCAAATACTGATGCTTTCGGTCAATATAAAACTGGTGGATACACTTACTTACAAAACATTATCGCGAATGAGATCTTAATGAGTAGAACAAACAATGCTGCTTACATATCAATGGTGTATACTGGAATGAAGACCAACAAATACAACAAAGACGACTTTGCTGAGACTGCAACTAACATGTGGGGGACTGTCTTACTCTTCGTGTTTATTGCGCCAATGTACAGATTCCTTTTCAACGCTACACAAGAGAAACATACCAAGATCAGAGAAGCTATGAAAATTATGGGTCTCACGGATCTTCCATATTGGCTTTCTTGGTTCACCTACTATATCATCATAAACACAATCCAATGTGTCTGAATGATGTTGATATTGATTCCTGTGTTTGAAGAGACTAACAAATTCTTACTGTTCCTTCATTTATGGCTATATGGTATGAGCATATTTGGCTTCTGCATCCTAATTGCAGCTTTCTTCAGTTCTCCCAAAACTTCCGGATTAGTTGGCACAATGCTATTCTTTTCCATATCTTTTATCAACCAATTGATAAACGATAGGACTGTGTCTCAGACTAGCAAGACTCTGGCTTCTATATTCCCTTCACTTGCTGTTCAACTTGCTGGAACAAATCTTTTGGCTTATGAAGAAGCTGGCATCGGTATAGGTTTTTCTAATGCCAATGAGGTCTATGAAAATTATAGATTTGCAACTTGAATGTGGATGAATTTTTTGTCCTTTGTCATATTCTCAACACTTGGAATCTATCTGGAGAACGTCCTCCCATCTGCTGTTGGAGTCAGGAAGCCTCTGTGGTTCCCGTTCACCAAGTCTTTCTGGTTCGATACTAAAAATGAGCCTTCTAGGAATGTACAAGAAGATGGCAATTTGTCTAGGAGAAATTCAAATAAAGTGAGAAATTCAGATGATATTGACGAAAATTCCGGAGACCAAGTCCAGATAGACATTACAAATTTTGAAGAAGTTCCTGAATATCTCAAAAGGAAAGAAGATGACCAAGAGTTTGTCCAGATACATAACCTCAAGAAGAAGTTTGACAAGTTTTGGGCTGTCGACGGACTTAACAGCGAAATGTATGAGGACCAAATCTTTGCTCTTCTCGGCCATAATGGTGCTGGCAAAACAACCACTATCAATATGCTATGTGGAATGATGGCTCCCACAAGTGGTCAGGCTACCATTTATGGCTACGACATCGATAAAGACATGAAGTCTCTCAGGAAGATCATGGGGTACTGCCCACAACACAACATATTGTTTCCTAAGCTAACTGTTGTTGAGCATCTAAGGATCTTTTCAGATTTTAAAGGCAAGCCAAGAGCTGAAATCGAACAAGAAATCGAAGAAATTTTAAACGACCTAAACATGGCTGACAAACGCAATGTTTTGTCCAAGGACTTATCTGGAGGATACAAGAGAAAACTTTCACTCGGCATTGCTTTGGTTGGTGGCTCTAAGATCGTATTCCTAGATGAGCCTTCAAGTGGAATGGACGTTACTGCCAGGCGTGAGATGTGGGACATGCTTAAAAAATACAAAAATAACAGGATCATTGTTCTCACCACCCATTACATGGAAGAAGCTGATAACTTGGGCGATAGGATCGGCATAATGTCACAAGGCAAAATGTTGTGCTGTGGAAGACCTGAGTTCTTGAAAAATAAGTTTGGTGAAGGATTCAACCTCATTGTTGTCAAAGAGGAAAGGCAAGATAATCAGCTGCTTCAAGATTTTGTGCTCAGTTCAATAGAAGGATCAAGAAAAGTATCTGAAGTGAGCTCAGAAGCGACATACTTGCTTCCAAAGGATTCAATTGATAAATTCCCAGAATTCTTCAAGGAATTCGACAGCAAACTAAAGAAACTTAAAGTAAGTTCATATGGAGTATCCATGACAACACTCGAAGAAGTCTTCTTGAAGGTCGAGAACTCAGACAAACAAGAAGACGAAAAAGCAATAGAGAAGGTGAAAAGAAGAATGACTTCTGAGTATAACCCAGATAATGAATACTCGATGGCAAAAGAGCAGATTGAAGGAGCATTTTCAATCTTTTTCCTACATTTCTGGGCTCTGTTCTTGAAAAGATTCTTTTTGACAAAAAGAAATTTGAAAGGCATGGTCATGGAAATATTTATTCCATTTGTTCTGATCATTGTTGGTTATTGGATGGCTACTGTAGCATTCTACCAGAACTCAGACCCAAGAGTCTTAGAGCCAAGCCTGTTCCCATTAGATCAAAGAGTCATCTATAACTCTAACAATGCTGGAGTCAGTGATCCTGCTGAGCTCATAGCACTACTCGATCCATCTTCCAACTTTACTTCTTCTTCAGTATCAGTCTCAGGAAGTGATGAAAGAAGCCGCTTGATGAACTTTGATGATCAGATTTATAATGCTTCTTTGGTTGCTCCAGTGGAATCATCAAGATACGGACACTACTACTTCAATAATTTGGATTATGGTAATCATCACTATGAAGTAGCCACTTTGTTTAATACGACAAGCCAAGATGCTCATGTGGCGTTCCCACATTTTATTTATGAGGCTATATTGAAGAAGTCTCTTGGTTCAAGTTTCAACTACACTATGATTAATGATGCTATGCCAGTTGTTGATATATACAAGGACCAAGAGCGAGGCGCTAATGTCCTCTTCTTAGGACTTGTGCTTGCCATTGGACTCTCTCTGACTCCTACAGGAATTATCGGATTCTTGATTCACGAGAGATCGAACAACTTGATACACCAACAGACAATAAGTGGAATGAACAAGGTTGCTTATTGGGTATCCAACTACATCTTTGACACTTCTAAGATCTTCATTACAATTCTATTTGCCATCGCCTTTATGTACGCTTTCGAGTTGCAGTATCCATATGCTTGGCTTTTGCTCCTCCTATTTCCATTTACAATCGTTCCATACACTTATGTGACTTCATTCTTGTTCAGTGAAGATGCTCCTGCTCAGAACTTCACTATTCTGCACCACTTCTTTGTAGCAGGAATCTTTCCTATCTTCCTATTCATATTGAGACTCACAGATGCTACTGAAGACTTTGGAGATAATGTGAGATGGGTTTTAAGACTCCTTCCTTCATATTGCACAGTTGGAGGAATTAACTCTATTGCAACCAAAGATCAAATGGCAAATGATAGAGGAGAATCCCCTCCATCAGCATTAGATTTTGAGGTAGCAGGAGGAGACCTGCTCCTGCTTTGTATCCACCTGATCTTGTGGCCTCTCCTTCTAGCATTGATTGAACTTGGAGTCTTCGATTTCTTACGCAAGAAAGGCAAAAATGTTGAAGATAAACACGAAGCACTTGATGATGATGTTGTTCAGGAAAGACAGAGAGTTGAGGATACCTCTGAGTCAGACCTTGCCGTCAAAGCAAACCATCTCAGGAAAGTCTATGGTAACAAAGTCGCTGTCAAAGATGTATCATTTGGACTTGAGTTCGGTGACTGTTTCTGTCTTCTCGGAGTCAACGGAGCTGGAAAAACATCGACCTTTAAAATGCTCACAGGAGATGTTGTTGCGACCAAAGGAGAGTCTCACATTTGTGGCTACAATGTCAAGAGCGAATTTACTCAAGTCAGAAAGCAAATTGGGTACTGCCCACAGTTTGACTGCATCTTCGACATGATGACTGTCAGAGAGCATCTTGAATTCTACACTAAAATCAAGAAAATTCCCAAACAATATGTTCAGCCTTTGATATCTGAGCAGCTCAAGAATATGAATCTTGAACAATACGAAAACAAGCTTGCTGGCACTTTATCTGGTGGTAACAAACGCAAGCTTTCAGTTGCAATGGCCATGATTGGTAATCCACAGGTTGTGTTCCTTGACGAACCATCTGCTGGTATGGATCCGAAAGCCAGGCGATTCATGTGGGAAGTCATTGCTAAGATCTCGACCAGAGGCAAAAACTCAGCTGTCATTTTGACAACACACTCGATGGAAGAAGCAGAAGCTTTGTCAACCAACATGGGAATCATGGTAGGAGGACAGTTCAAATGCTTTGGATCCAAACAGCACATTAAGAACAAGTTCGGCAAAGGATACCAAGTCGAAATCAAGTTCAAAGAACTCAGCGAAAAAGATGTCGAACAAAGAATCGAAAATATTGGGCTGCTTGATTTCTTAAGAAACTCACATGCTGCGTCTTACAAAATAGACAATGCCAAGGGACAAGAAAGATTTATGCTTAATCAAGAAGCATGCCGAGCTGTTTTGGAAGACCTTCTTGAGAGTCCAAATACTTTAGCTGAGCTACATGGTGATGGGTTTGGTAAAGAAATAATGAAAACTCTTGAAGATAGGAACTATTATCCTGTATCTGAACTTATCAAATGGGAATATGTCACCAGCAACAATCTTCAAGCCATCAATGTACTAGGTAAGTTATTAGCAAAGTCAATGATATTAACCTTTTATAGTATCCGAGTTTGGAGAGACGCTGCTGATCGAACAAATATACCCAAGATACAGATACTCAGTGCAAAAACAGGACAAATCGATTGGATACTTCTTTGGGCTTCTAGAAAAAGTTAGGGAAAAGCTTGATTTAGACGAATACTCAGCCTCTCAGACAACACTCGAACAGATTTTTAATGGCTTTGCTAGATCAGAAGATCATGAGGCTGTCCAGAGGAGATTTGACAACTCAGATATTGAAAACTCAGGTGGAGAAGGTTTCCGATCCAACTCGTCTGATCAGAAATTATTCCAACAGAACAATTTGTTCGATGCCAAAAAGTCTATTGGAAAATCTGGAATTTCTGATACAGTTCCAAAGCCCAAAAACACTTATAGCCTAAATGGTGCCTTTCCCTAGTTTATTTATTCATATGCTAGACGAAGAGGAAGAATAATTGCCTAGCCTTAATTTTCAATCACTAATACAACTTCGTCGAAACCAAAATGATCTATTCGAAATTCTGAAGCAAGCTCAGGCTTCCTTCTATTTATTCCAATGATTCTCATATTCCTCACAAACATTTTGTTCAACGTGGTCAGCCCAGTTTGGGGTTTTGGGGTTTTGGGGTTTTGGGGTTTTGGGGTTTTGGGG